CTATTTCACGCTTTGTAGAACAATACAAACAGTGGCTGCAGCTGACCTTAGACGATATTGTTTTTTTCTTGACGTTTGCATCTCATCGCTTCAGTTCGATGCTTCAATGGAGGTAAAATATATATCACGTCGAATGAAACTGCTTCGTAAGCATAACAGCTGTAGCACCATAATACCACGGGGACGTAATCCACCTAAATGGTTCTCCATACTGTTAGATGCGACCAATTGGCCGTGATGAATGTGGAAAAGTTACAACCAATTTGTGATATCTTGTGAACTCTCATGAGAGAAAATTATTCTGACATTTTGTCTTGTCGTAAAGTGGCAGATTTTATATTGTGATTATGTTGAAAGAGGAAAGAATTTCAAGTATGAGATTCGTTTCAATTTTGCAAAGTCAGTTATTTACATCGTTCATTCATCCAGAACCTTAAGACCTGTTATCGTTCTAGTTTTTACCAAATGTGCAGAAATCTCTAACTATTCTCTGATGGTAAATCAAGAAGATCAGAATGGGTGGTCCTTCTATCATTAATTCTGTAGCAGACTGGGCGATCTGTTGCAACTGGGTCCATTTCCTCAGCAGCTCAATGGTTCGTTGTCATGAAGGTGATTACGCATTACAGTAGAGCGATGCAGTTTAACTCAAAAGTACACAGTTTACAGCATAAAAATTTAAAAGTAGAATCTCTGGCAACGTACAATTCAACAACCATCTTTAGGTGCTCAAAATCTATTACATTTCAATTGTTTACACTAGATTTACACCTGGAAACTTTAACCACCATGCTTCTACTCGGTTACAATGCCCTTTCACCCAACCATTGTATTTAGGCACATGCAGTGCATTCGATGAAACCTTGTATTTCTAAGTTGTGCAGAACAAGGGTATTTCGAATATCATAGGATTTTTGCACTACCTGTAGGCAAATCTAAAAATTTTTAATTTTAGTACTAGATTTAAACGGTATCGATTTATCCAGAGTATCACTGTGTGTTAACAGGTGATAAACTGTATGTTCTACACCGACCGGTATTAGGCGACGAATCACGAGGACAACAACAGTTTGTCGTGGCGCATGAAGTTTAGCTACCTGTTGGCTAGAATAACGGTAGTCTGGCGAATGACGTACAACGGGCCCCAAATCTCGTCCGATTTTCATCGAAGTTTGTTTTTTTATCCATTAACGAATGATTTATAACCGCAGTGCAGCGGTGACATAGGCCGCCTTTTTTCTTCAAAAAGGCAGGTTATTCTCACCTCGTCATGAAATATTGTCATTAGGAATTGAGAGTTTTTTCTGAGTAACGAACTTGTCGAACTCAAATGCATGCACGCCGTGACGATTTCATCGGTACTTGTCCGCGACTGCTTATTTTTTGTGTCTAACCTCTATATTTGGAGGTCGTTCACCTCTCCGTACCCTGGAAAAGCGTTAGATAGGCAGCAGCTATGCACATTGCAGTCATACCCAGCTTAAATGATCCTCGAAGAAGCAAGATACGGTGAGTTTGCGTTGTATAAATACAGCTCACTGATTCTAATAATATTTTCACTGGCGTAATTGAAAAGGTGCTATTCATTGTAATACACTATAGAAAAGTGTTCCATTTTACCTTATTTTGTTACAGGAGTCTTTTTTCGTAACAGCGGACAGATTTCTATACTGTGCGGTACTTGCCAGGGCCAATTTATGAGCACTACCTCAGTTTAACACGTGGCACCATTATAACCGATCCCTGGCTCGTAGCAACGCCCAGGAGCATCACAAGCTTGCATGTCTTGTCATCGTTTGTTAATCAATTCTGAAGATGATATCCATTCATGTAGTGCGGAAATGACCAATCCGAAATGCGTTCCCCTGCTGCAATCTTATGTTCAAATTAAAGCAGACTCTCCAATGTAATCTGCGGATGCATCCGTCTAAAAATCTGTGATTCTACTGAAATTATGGTATGAAATTAAATCATCTGCAATTTTCTCTTTTCATGCGTTAAGCCGTTCAAACGATCGATTTTCAAAGCTGACTGTAATACAGAATCCTTATGAAATACAGTACGAGATTGAGAGTTCAAGTTTAATCGTGGCTGCACCAGTTCATATAACATTTCTTATTTCTTCTGAGTGTTGTCAGATTTTCTTTTTCTTTTCGAATCCAGGACAGCTTCGAAATCTGTCAAAAGCGCCCTGACATCTTTCTTTCTTAAAATAGCGTCTTTATGAATAGCTTTGATGGCCACTGATGTCATTGCCTCTTTTCGTTTCTCCAGTAATGCTTTTCGAAATTCAACTGAAATATTTTCACTGAAAAATGCAGTATCAATCAGAGACTCGCACCATTCTTTGAAAGCAGCACACGAGACCACAGATAAAAGAATAATCTATGCTTTGATTTATTATTTAAGGCATTTAATTAATACAGGGAGTGAAGAATTTTGTACTGAAAAAGTTATTGAGTTAAGTTTTGTTGCAGTTAATACAGCCAGGTGGGTGGGTCATGAAAGGCAGCAGCGAATAACGCCGCCCTCTTCAAAATAATGAGGGTATGACATGCAACACCAAACGCCGGATTTCCTTAACGCAATTCATGAAAGATTCTATTTTCCGTCAATTTATTTCTCTACGTAACTAATCACTTCGTCTGTTCATGAAAAGTGGCTAAACATTATAATATATATTACTCTTATTCGAGGGACGTCGTTGGAGAGAGAGAGAGGGGTAAACCACTGGCAGTGATAGCCGTTACAACAAGAATCACAATTATTCATCAGGCATTCTTAAAGGATTAACGTGATAGCATAGCAGAGTTTCAATGGATGCAGACAGATTATGGTTTCGTATATATTTCTTTCCTCGTTTACAATGTAGACATGAATCTCCAACTTTAGCCACTACTTCCACTGTAGAACGCGAGGTGAAGCTGCATTAACCAGTCAAAAATTGAGGGGAACTGATTGGTGGCCTTTCGAAAGAACCGAAAATACTTGCGGTTCAGTTTGCTAAAGCTGCAAGTGTTATCGTATAAATAAACTCTTTGAGAAGTGCCACAATTTGCATTAAAGCGCCATCATTTCTTCTGCTACGCAAGAGTCTTGAAGTGGTGCAGGAGTCTGCTCCCAACTAGGGTGTAGGTTTAGGCGGTCGTGATGCGCCCAACTCGTCAAATGCATTTTTCCGCGATACCAAGACCTCACAAAATGTTTCACTTCTCTGAACACACTGGTCTGGATGAATTTTGGGAGGACATTCGAAACAGTTCATGAGGGTCGGCACCCCGAATAAACTGATAAATGGTTACTCACCAAAATGGGCTCATTTGACCGAGTCGCCTTGACTACCACCTACTACTCAGTAATCGATACGGCGCGATTAGTAAATAGGCCCAGAACGTCATCAAGATCTTCATGGCCAGCCATCAACAATTGCAATTGTTGCAGTCTACAAAAAGGAGAAGATGAAGGCGGACGTCATTGGAACATGTGAGGTCGGACGTTCTACCGAATTTGCTGCGGAGTGGAACAATGATGACAAAGTGTTCTTTAGGAATGCTTTCGAGAACCGAGGTCGAGCCGATGGCATTGAACTCAAGCTTCAGGGAAAATCTGGGTCTCTGATGGTGAGCTGGTGACGGTGGCTACGACGTGACACCACGTTGTACAGCGATCCTTCTTCTACACATTGAAAAAAGTAGAGCAATACAAATAATCTAAGCTAACGGCCTAACCCAGCAAGCTGAAGACGCAGACATCGAGCAATTGCATGAAAAATTGAAAGGCGAGGTGGAGAAGAACTCTACACGATTGACCAAAGAGACTTCAATGCAGTCGTCAGGAAGAAAATGAAGGCCACAAGCTTTTATTGGTAATTACGGGAAAGGCGAAATTTGTGGAGATCCTCTAAACGTGAAAAATCTTCATAAACAGATAAGAATAAGTTTCCAGAAATGATTGCAAATAACACGATTATTATTTAGCGTTATAACGCGATGAAGCATAACACAACGTTATAGTTAAACATTCTTACTGTAATCGGTAAAAGTAAATTAGATTTCCCTGTTGCTAAGTCTACTATAAATCTCAACTGAAATGAGATCTCTAACTGCTTAGATGCGTACCAATTTCAGACCACTGATAAGAAATCCCTTTCCTCACTCACACAGATACCTAAAAATTTGTTATTGAGCGGATGCTATGCAACATCTAGCATAAGTGGTCAAAGTATTGCAGATTTCTTGTTTGCTGTACTGGCAATGTAATCAATAACCGCCCGTGGATTAAACGATTTTGCTGAGCAATCACTTACTTTAATCATCCAAGTTTTCTCCATTCTCTGCATGCCAAACTTGGAAAGGAAATTCGGCTACAGCATAAGCTAATTTTCGCCAGATGTGGGCCTTCATGGCCTGTTAAAATATTTCTTTTGCATCCCCATTCTTTAACCGCCGCATTTCAAGAAAAGCGCTGTATGGCGTGATGCATCACTTGCACATGGGAGACCTGCTTTATTCATCTCCAGCGTTAATCCAGCGCTAGCCTATGATACTTGGCTGCAAAGCAGATCATTGATAGTTGTCAGCTGATCGCCGAGGCTGATGACTGTGGATCCTTCAGACCTGCTGATCAAAGTTGGTCTTTCAACTGCGCTCGAGTAAATTGCAGATCGATGCCAATGCTTATCTGCACATCATCGTTGTTTTGTGGAATTTAAATTATCCCTCTGAGTTTCTGTATTCATGCTAGAAGCGTCGCATTGTCCGCATATCTGACTGACTTTCGACGTTCAACATGGCATGGTCTCTTAATAGATGTTCATTCGCAGGGCACGGTTCCATGACTGTCAAATGAGCACCATCCATTCGTTAAGTCGTGTTACTCGAATCATGCAATGAAATGTTGTGGAATCACACAGAATTTCTGAACAAAGAGTGGCATTAACTTAATTACAACTTGGTTTATGGCGACAGCTATCTTTGTCACGTGATGAAAATATTTAAAATTTAGCACATGAATATCGACAAAATCCTTTTGTCTCTGAAAAAACGAGTCTCTGTGGACAAAAGGAAAGACTCATGAAATTCAACTAATTTCTTACCTTGAAGAAAGCCTGTGAGGCATGGGCCGAAGCATCGGTATTGGTCAGTCATCTGTTTGACCATATTATTTGCATTGTATATAAATAAACTGTGTTCCATGCTGTTTTCAACAATAGAATAAAAGGAATTAGCAAGAAATCCACACGACATCATTCAAGCAAATGCCATGTACAAGAAATAGCACTTACGGGAATGCATGACGAGAAGAGCGCCCCAGGAGATGCTCCAAAACCATCCAACGAGGAGAAACGTCACCGTGATCAGCTGGAAAATGCCAACGCAGAAATTTATCAACACTGTTAAGAGAATTCTTGCTTCTTTCACGTTTAATCTCGGTTGTCCAACGCAAGCAGCAGTTAAGCCACAAAAAATAGTGCCTGCATAAAAAATGATATTTTAAAAATATCGAAATAGTGTATAACTTTTCAAAGGCAACGAAATGTTCACTGCATTTGCTTACGTAAATAATAGCAACAATGCAATTAATTTCCCAAAATGATCAAGCAGTGGACACTGAAATTTGTCAAAGACATATTTCCTGAAGTATTGCACCATTGTCTTGCTCCTAGATCACAAACGGAGCAATCACGTAGAACGCGGCTTCATCGTATTTGAACAAAGCAAGTGCAAAGAAATCTTCTTTAGGATGAGTTAGCCGCTTTATGACCTGCTCAGGCAAATGAGCTCATATTTATGAAGAACGAAGCAGGTAAAATTTCACATATAACAGTTATATTATTGGAACCTGACTCGATGATGTTATTCTTAACGATAGCATTCCTTTATTGGTCACTGTTTCTCTGTCTGATGAATAAACATGACAAAGATTGTCCATAGGCACGTATTAGTGTCATTGTTAAGGATATTTCAAGTCTTAGCATCAGCGAGCGTCTTACAATCTTTCGTCTCAGACTTACTGCTGTACAGGCTTAGCGTTCTTCTAAGACTTTACTACTCACACTAGGGACGTAAAGAAAATCGAATGCCTGGCATAACTTATGTTAACCGAAAGTTGTGCTAGTGACATCGATCCTAAGGTAGACTGAGACACTGATTGATGAAGGTCTGTCAGAAAAGCAGATTTATAAAATGCGGACTTGATCATACTCACATACTAAGTATTCATGCATAACACAACTGGATGTGCTGAATACCGTGCTTCGTCAGAAAAATAGGTACAAACATATTTTGAGACATATTCCTTAAAACCTGATTGAACGTAACCAACTATTCATTAAGAAGTAGTGGCCGAAATTGAAACCTCCACCTCGGCCAGTTCAAAGCCTGGTGGAGAAAGGAGGAGCGTTGGAGACCGTGGCGAAACCTCCGTCGAAACTTAGCCACCTGTCCCTCATAGCTCATTGTATTGACCTCATCGAAAATTATTCCTCTTCGGTCGTCTTCCGTCCAGGGTTACGAACGTTGTTGGAAGGCAGAAACAGGCTGCGGAAATTCAGCGATGAGAATCTGCTCATTACCTTCAGGCAGCC